AAAATTTTTAAGTGGAAATGTAAAATTACCATTAAGCACCAATGCTAATATATATAATAAAAGGTATTTTAGTAATTTAACGTGTATCTCGAGCCGCTCGACAAGTTAAAATATGGGCTCGAGCTCGATTCGAGTTCGGTCAAACGAGACCGAGTCAAGCACGAGCCGCTCGGTTCGTTTGCAGCCCTAGTCGAGCGACTCGATATATATGTTACATTACTAGAATACCCCTTATATGTATATTTAATAGTATAACACATGTACTTAATGGTAATTTTACATTTTCACTTAAAAATTTTCGAGCCGCACTCGAGCATTTTGATTTCGAGTCGAGCTCAAGCTATTGTATTTTTTTATCGAGTCAAGCTCGAGCCTCATAAATCGAGCTCGACGAGCTTGAGCTAATTCAACTCGATAAGACCAATATTCGACTCGATTCGACTCGGCTCGTTTGCATCCCTAAGCTCGAAAGATAATTTTTCTATAATTTTCGATAGTTCGGCTCGTTAAAACTCGAGATCGGCTCGAACTCATCTTACTAATATTCAGCTCACTGATTATATTGATAAACAAGCCAACTCGAGCTCGATTTTTGGCTCGTTAAGGGCTCGAGCTCGAGCAACCTCGGCTCGACTCGTTCACAACCCTTCACACAATATCCTTTTCCCCACCTCGCCTAACTTGCCTAGCTCACTGATAAACCTCCTTTAATCTCTAATCAAACAATGGTAGTGCTTAAAGAAAGTCTATTATCAAGCAAGCCAAAAGTGGAAGCTCCATTATGAACCTCTCATTGCTTCAGCACCTATCTTCATACCAAATCTGTACTTGATCCCCTCCTATTTCTATGTTATCTGTTGCAACATATATAATTTAAGTCGCATATATTCACTGCCAAAGAACAGCAATAAAAGACTTGTCAAAAAGCGTACAAGCCGTGATTCCTCAATAAGCTCAATAGAGAGTCTTGGCCTGCATTGCGACACTCTACAATACATTGGATTTATATTAATTATATTCATTAATGTGTTGTTACTTAAGAAAAAATATACAAAATCAACTCGATTTTATTAGCAAGCAACCGTTATTTTTTCATTGCATCATTTTATTGCTTTTGTCGAAACTCAATTGTGGGTCTTGTTGTCATATAGAGGTGAATCATAATATTGTTGCCCACCAGTTAGCTAATGGGGCTCTGTCGGCGACGGGACCCTTTTTATGGAAGGAATGTCTCCCGTATTTTCTATCACCTCTTTATGTAACGTTCGGAGCTTAAATCTCCGTGTTGATTGTTATTAGTAATGGCAAAAAAGAAAGCACT